GCATGTTATTGAGAATATTTTCGTAACTTGGGCCCTTGTTGTTTCCTAAAAATTTGTCAATAACATCTTTAAAGGCAATCCACACTTTTTTTTTCAACTTTCCTCATTGTACTTTTAAACTGTTCATCCAAAGTCAATTTCCTAATCTGAGGCCCAACAAAAATCCCTTCTTTTAGTTTCACTTCTAAAAGAGCTGGGAATTTCCCACATAGATACTCATATGCATTCCCTTCAGTGGACACTCCTCGATCAGTGGAACTTCTTGGACCACATTTTTTATCCTTCCTTCCCCAATTAGGGCTGGCCTGGCTTGGTAGCTAATCAAGGACCACACCACAGTGGGGGTTCTGCTTCCTCCACCTCATCTGAATTTACATCTGTTCACAGATGCATCTTTAGAGGTTTAAGGTGCTTACCTTGACATTCGGGAGATTTCTGGTCTGTGGTTGATCGAAAGTCTTCTCTCCAAATCAAAATTATCAAACTTGCGGTGGTTCAATAGGCTTTGTCCAACTTCCTTCCTCTTCAGCAGGGAAGGGTGGTTATGGTACACTCTGGCAACTCCATGGTGGTCACTTATTTCACTAAGCAAGGGGGTGCCAAATCCAAATCTCTGTGCTTTCAGACCCTGGATCTTCTTTTCTGGGCTCACAGTCACCACATGGTGGTTGTAGCTTCCCATGTTCTTGGTACCCTGAATCTGGTTGTGGATCGTTTATCTCAACCCAACTAGATTCTCTCCACGGTCTTTTGCTGGGTGTGTTCTCAGCTGAGGACACCTCATATCGATTTTTTTCACCACCCACTGGAACACCAAACTTCCTTCCTTTTGGTCTACCATTCCACATTCGCTAGCTCTGGAAGTAACACATTCAGTCAAGAATGGAGAGGTTGTCACATTTATGCTTACCCTCCTATGTGACTCCACTCACTGTCTAGTCTTACTCGTGGCTCTGTATTGGTTGGTTTCAACCTTGGTTCTTTCTGGTATGACCTTTACTTGTACAACCTCCCCTACCCTTACCCCTTTCTCGTTCTCTACTCCGTAAACCTTGGTTGGGTATTGCTTATTCACACCCTGTCTTCACCCATGACTTTTGTTAGGTCCATTGCCTCCAGTCCAAGAATTGACTCCATGTGTTGCATCTTTCTTTTCACAATCCACCAGACCTTCTTCCATGTCCATTTGCCATAGGTGATGATTTACCTTCCACTTTTGGTTTTTTCAAAGTGGCTTCTGTCTTTTCTAGCCCTGCATTCATCATCTTTCCCAATTCTTCACCTGGATGTTTGACAAAGGCTTGTATGCTTCAACTGTGTCTAGCAATCAGGCAGCCTTGTTGATCATATTCTCCAAGTTTCTTAAGGTTTTAACTTTCCCTCTCATTTGGCTTCTTTTCTGCTTCTTTCGAGTCATGCATCCTCCACGTTCCTTTGATTTGCATGATTGAGATCTCAATGTAAAACAAAATAATTTTTGGGGGTTTTATATATGCATCTTGAAATAAAAAAAAAATTGAAAATTACTATATCAATACCACAGAATTCCACTATAATTTATCAAGCTTGTAATTAAGCTGTATTTGGGTCTAAAAAATATTTTTTTTAGCTCACTAATGTCTCACCTTACTGCTTGGAATCTAACATGAAAAGAGTTTCCCATGCAAATACTTTGCAGAGTGTGAGAAACCACTAGGGGTACATTCTGAACTTTCAATTTGTTATACACACACTTCATTTGGTGAAGTAGGTGTACATAAGCCAGTATTTTCAAAAAATGGAAGAGGTTGGCAGAGCCACCTTGGTTGATTCAATAAATGTATTGATGTCTCAGGAAATAGAAAAGATAGGAGGTTCTTCTCTTAGATTCTAGCTTGTCAATATCGGTAATTTGAGTATCTAATTCATAAGAAACTATAGACTTTGTATTTGGACATCACAAACATCTAATTTGAACCAATGTTGCATTTAACATACCACGTGGCACACAGAAATCAATATTTAGGTTCTAATCTAATATCTACTTATAAATTGAGAAATTAACTAATGTATAATACTAAAATTTGAATTATAATCTACAATTTAATTCCAAATTTATTGACATACATTCATAAAATAGTAGTTCAATAAAAACTTTAAATTTGAGTCTACAAATGAGATGGCCTTTGACCCATAACCATAGGTAATCCTGTGTTGGTTGGGTTAAGTACACTTTACCCTCTAAATATGGGTAGGTAGAAGTGCATATATATGTCAACGTTTTTACAGAGTTACAATCAAGGTTAAATAAAATATTTTATTAGCAATGTATGTAAATAAACTTGGCATCAAAATGTAGTTAGTAAATGAAATTTTGAATTTTAATTTGCAAGTTTCAGATTAAATTCTCACTCTTCCCTTCTCTATATCACAAGATGTTTGTTCCCAATTGTTCAATTTAGATATCCATTCTACCCTTATTTGAGCTTAATTTTTAATGCAACTTGCAAACTTAAAAGTGTAAAAAGTGCTAAGACATAATCTAGTTTTATAGCTTTCAATCATCTTTATTTTCAGAGATATAAACCAGAAAGTCAAATCCACACACCACACCCTTGTGTCATATAGTCTTTAAAAAGACGTCACTAATTTTCTCTGATTTTTGCAAACATTAAGTGATAATCAAAAGAAAGAGATTTTAATTTATTGAATTATTAAAAGGCTAGCCCATTCTCACAACAGCTTTTGAATTACTCAGCATTCAAATTCAAAGTTACTATCGCTGATTTCACCTCGCCTAATTAAGGAAAATATTTTATTGCATTTATAGCTTAGTTAAGAAGTCAGATTGTGATAGTTATAGGATATTATTTTCTTTATTGATATTTTGTATTCATAATGAATATTTGAAATACATAAAATTTCAATAAATAGCCCTGTCAAATGTTAGGGTTAGCTTTTATCAAGACTTTGCAAAAAAGTACAAGACTCACACATAAGTACCAAGTCTCTTGTTTTTTATGTATATTTTTATTTATTGTTATAAAAGTAACTAAAATGTAAAAATAGGTAGGCAAACAATGATTTATAAGTATAAGAAAGAGATATTGTCTTCTTCAGATTTGGTCTGTACTAAGCAATACAGGGTTTATATATAGTCACAAAGACTAAATGTGAAAGAAATGATATAAGCAGGTGACAGGATTATAGGTAAAGGTCAAGTCTGATGAAGTGTATGAGCAGTGAATAGACCTTGTCAAATACAGCTGATGTTGCTATCAGGCTTTAGTGAGAGATCATCTGCTTTGATGATTTCTATAGTTTTTAAACAGTCTTTCTTTTTTTAGGTTTGGTTTGGTGTAGGAGAATAATTTCATCCCAAAGTATTTTGTGATTTATTTCAAATTGATGATATGTTAAAGCAGATTTCTGAAATTCACCTCTTTGCATGTGACCATGGTGTTCTTTGAGTCTTATTTCTAAGGATCATGATGTTTATGTATTTCTTTCCACATTCACATGCAATACTACATGCTTTTGTTCATTTATTAGGGATCATTTTAGGTTAAGGTGTTAATATTATGTGATGTAAAGGCTTGAATACAGTTTTTACATCAATGCTCAAGTTATGAAATAGGCTAGTAATTTCATTAGCAATTTCCGGCATAAAAGGGAATGAAACAAACTTGCTATGTTTTATGCTGTTAATAGATGAAAGGTTAGAGTTAACATAAATGTTTTACTGTTTTGGAGTTTAATAAAAGTCCTAGTTATGATGTTGGGGTTGAAACCTCTAGCTAGTGCTATATATTCTTTAAGTAATTCAATTAAGTTAGTAAGTTTTCTTTGTTGGTGCGAAACTGTACAGCACGATTTATATAGGTGAAATAGGAGGACATTTTCTGTGATAGCTCAAGGTGTTTAAGAATTCAATGAAGTTAAGTAGAGTATCTTTCCATTATTAAAGATATCATTGACATATCTTAACCAGACTTCAGGTTTCTTGATCTGTGTGAATTTGTTTCCAAACAGTTCTTCTAGAACATACACGTAGAGGGCACTAAGTAGAGGGAAAAGGAAGGATCTCATCACTAATCCATTATTTTGTTTGTAAAACTGGCCTTTGGATGTTAAAATATGTGTTGTTTAAGCAGTATTTTGTGAGGTTAATAAGGTGAGCTGTTACAGAAGTGTTTTCTAGTTTTTCTCTTACATAATGTAATGCTCATTCTACCAGTATTGAAATAGAGATTTTATTTCAAAAGATACTAAGATATCTTCGTGGTTTAGTTTGAAGTTTTTTATTCTATTTACATAGTCTGAAGAGCTTTTGAGAAAATACGGGTTAATTTCAAGTAGAGGGTTTAATCTCTTAACTTAGAATTTAGTAGTATTTTATATCTGTGAGCCTATGGTCAAAACTATAGAACTGTAAGAAATGTTATGTTTGTGAATTTTAGGAAGAGCATAAAAATGGGGCAGGGGATAAAAAGTGTGGGGATAAGGGAAGTATTTTTTTGGCAGTGAGAATAGGGCAACTTTTAACTAGTTTTTAATGTTGAGAAGAACTTTGTAGGTAGGATAATCTTTATAGAGTAAGATCCATTCTGTAATAAGGTGTTAACACTTGCTTTGTAATGTGTTTTATTTACAACAGTAGTATAACCATCTTTATCAACTCTTACTATGTATATCTTATTGTGAGACTTTGATTCTCTTAGGGTGTTGGATTCATTTCTGATAAGGTTAGGTTTTAGTTTTATGTCTTTATATGCTGTAAGTCTAGAGTGTATGTTGATTCTATTTTTTTCTGCTTCACTGAGATTCAAATTTAAAGAGTTGATGTTGGATTCTGTGTTAGCAACAATGTTCAATAGGTAAATTTTTTAAGATAAGTAATTGCAATTTTCTGTTACAACTGGCAGTCATTCTAGAAAGAAAAAAGGCTTGTAGAATGGACTGAGCATGTATAGTATTAGAATAGAAAGATTACAGATAAAATATAAAATAAAAAAAACTTTTGATATTCATTTAGGGGGCTCAAGAGTTTATGCAAATGAAATCTTAAAACTGTAAGATGAAAAGAAGTATTTTTAATCTTAATATGAAAATCATCTTGCACTCAGGCTTGTTTTTTTCGTGCACAAAAGATTTGCTTGCCACATTTGAAGATATGCTTACTACATTAAAAGTTATATGTGTAGTATCATGGTTAGATAGTTGTTAAAAGGTCAGTCAAAATGACTGAGCCTGAATGTAGAGAGTTAATAAAAAAAAATATGCTACAACTTTAAGTTTAAGATTTGTATATTTCAGTATGTTTCATTATTACTTTGGGTGATTTCTTATTTTCACAGTTAAGCTATTGGAAACTGAATCTAGGTACTTAACAACTAGACTGAAGCATTTCAGCTTCAATAGTTTTATAAGCAAGCCAAAAACACTTAGGAAATCTTTCAAGGTTTGATATAATGGTGCCATATTTTACATTTATAAAACTCCTTATTTCCTAGAAAGTACAAATACATATTTGAAACAAATTATAATACTTTGAAATGAAATAAAAATGATCTTTTTTTTTAATTGAAAGAAAGAAAATTAATAAAAGTGTATGAGTTCAGTATTTTTTGCATGAAATCAAAAAAAAATATTAGTTTCTAACTGACTAAGTTAAATTGACTAAAATTCTATTTTTGTCATGTGAGGTGATTAGTACAAATGTTTTATTAGTATTGTTATTTATTCATAAGGAGATATGCTGAATTGGACATTGAATCATCAGACCAATTCAAGTCAGAAGGGTGCCATACAAATAAACTAATTGATGCAAAGCTGCTTGGACTCTGATCAACATGTGTATGGAGAGATGGAGAAATAAGAAGCTTTTGAAAGTTTTAGTAGGTTCTACTTTTGGAAATTATTTTAACTTGGGAACCTGTGAAACAGAAAAAAAAGGCATTTTTTATTGTTTTATTACAGAATAACTTTTTTTTTGTGATCCTTATAAAACTTTAAAGTCATAAATTTTAGAGGACCATGTTACATAAAGTACAACATAATTCACACCTGATTGTACATATTTTGTAGAGAAGCTCTTGGACTATAGGAAGTGTTAGTCTTTATAAGCTTCTTTTTCACACAATAATATTGAACCTCTTGACTGCTAAAATTAATGTGTGTTAAGCATCTGTTAAATACAATGGAGAATATGATGGTAAATAATCATTCTCATATTAATTTTCATCATTAAAGTCAGTGTTTTTGTTTACTGGTGTGAATGTATGCCTTAGACTTGAAAAATGAAAAGGCATCTTTATATTAGTGTTAACAGACAAGATGTACAATGTAAAATTCAAATGGTTGATGTTTCAACCAACTTAACCAAGCTGCTTTATAATTTAATGTATGATTCAGAGGTTGCATTTAAACCCAATAAAATGCCCTACATTGTGATAAGTAGTAAAATTATGTACACTACCTTAAGAAAAAGCTACAAATAATGTCAGTGACATTTTATTGGGAAACATTTTTTAGATAAATTCTTGTTATAGATACTGTTCCTTTAAATTTATACAAAGCTTGAATTCTAAACAAAGTAGATATGAGATTAAAAATTTTATTGTGTAATGCATGTAAGTTATTTTGTAAACAGTCAAAAATATCAAGCAGAATTTGAGAAAACAGTTAAAAAAATTCTTATCATTTGTTATTTTTTAAATACCATCATAAGCTAAGAAGTTTTTAAAGCACTGTCATGTTTTTATAAAACATATCCAAAAGTATGAAAGTAAAAAAATCAAAATTTGCTCATTATACAGTTCACATACTTTACACCAGGTCTCCACAGATCCTGGCTCCCAATTTAGCAGAAGCTTTCTCGTACTTGCATCAGTGTCTTAACACCTGAGTCTTCAGCCATAAGAAAGTTTTGGATATGACAGAGTTCATCAGAATGTAGAGACTAGGGAAGTACGAACTATAGTCATTGTTTCTATCCACTTGGTTCTTCCATTTTTGACATAATAAGTATGCTTGTAAGCATAGCAAATACCATTGTGCATGATACATCCTTGTTTATAGACTGTATGGAGCAACTGTTTGCCTTGCAGGTCTTACTGCACCATTCTTAAGCCACTGAATAATTGCTTTTAAACTTGTATATTTTGCTCAAGCAAGTTCCAGTTGTGGTTGTAACACACCAGTTCTTCATCAGTGGTGAATGCCATATCTTGGACTATACTTTGTTCTAGTTTAGGTTGGTCTTTTTTTCTATTCCCTACTTCCCTTTTCTCGCTGTGTTTATAATTCATGAGAAAATGTGTCAGTATTTCCATGATTCAATCCAGGGGGATGTATAGTGTTAAAGTAATACTCCAGAAGTTCTTGGAGCCATCTTGCTATTTGGCCTTCTAGATTATGAAAAATCACCAGCCACTTCAGTGCTGCATGATCTGTTCAGGGTGTGAACTTCTGTCCATATAGGTTATGATGAAAGTGACTCAGGTCTCAAACAACACTTAGCAGTTCCTTTTGAGTTGTACGATACTTCCATTCTGTGGCATTCATTGACTTGTTATAGTAAGCAAGCACATGTTCTTTTCAGTGATGTACTTATGAAAAAACTGTTCCAACTGCAAAATAACTGGTATATGTACCCAAAATAAGCAGATTGTCCAGAGTTGGGTATGCCAGTACTGGGAGTAGTGGTCAGTTTCTTCTTCAATTTTTGAATACTTGTTCATAATCAGCAATAGACCGAGACCTAAAGGTCCAAGACCTTGCAGTAAATTACCCAATGAAAAATAAAGCAAAAAGAATAAAAATCACATGTGTCAAACTAACTTTTTTAATATCTTAACTGCAAATCTCTTACATGTTAACCTCACAGTCTGTTTTAACACTTCCTCCTATGAGAAAAAAACAATGGAAATATAAAATGAATGAATGAATAAAAAACAATCAAAAAGATCAGCAAATAAAACAAAAGTAAAACTGTTGTTGTTTTTCAAGAGTTTATGTGTGGAGAGATTAAAAGATACCTTCTTCCAATCGTGATTAAGCTTCTCTAGATGGATCTTTTGTAAATCTCCACCTGCAGGAAATGACAGAACTGTGATACCCCTAGATACATTGTACCATGAAAGTGAAACACATATAAAAGTTAAACACTTTGTGTGGTTTTTCGGCTCCACTAGAAGTGAACCCTACATCATACATTTATTGACACAATCAGTAGCAGTTACTATGATTTTAATATGTCTTAAGAGTAAGTACTGGGATTATTCCATGGGCAGTTTTCCAGGCTAAGTCACGCGAAGAAGCTTCAAAGCATCTGGAATTTACCCTGTCCCAGGCAATGTTCCAGTCTATATTAAGGTATTCATGTGTGATAGGGTTCAACCTTGGGGAAGAAACATTGTTGGCTGTTCAGTGTACACAAGATAACAGCTTCATCGAAACTGTAGAAACTGCCCTACTAATTCTCGGACTCACCAGACCACCCTCCATCGTGATGATTCCCAGTTGTCCAAGCCTCACATATGATGAGGTTCAACCTCAGGCGAAGTACATTGTTGGCTGTTAACAAGATATAGCTTCACCGTGATCTTATTTGGTGACTCACGCAGTCATGTAAACAACTAAAGGCAATAGAACTCAATAGCTCTTCCTTAACTGATGTTAGAAAATAAAACTGATAAGAAATATGCTCAAATTCTGAATTACTTCCTGTATCACAAATTCACAGTCTAACATGCTAACTATTGGGTCATAGAGGGTCTTGTTATTTGTTAAGTTAATACTGTGTAAAAATTGAAATTACCTTACGTATTTGTGAGTCACGTGTATGTGTGTTTCACTTCAGTTGTTATGATTGTGTTCCATGTTGTTCTGTTGCATTTACATACAGTCTATTCGATAGTTGCATTTTCAAAAGATAGTATTAAACGTAAATTAGGCTTGGGAACAAGCCTAATATGAGGGAGAAGTGTACAAATGCAAATTTTTTTTTTTTTACTTCTCCCATACAGGGCCGTCAGAAGAAGGAGTGCGCTGGGTATGATTGCACTCACTTTTTCCAGTGAAAAACCCCTTGGTATTAAAGTATTTATGAATAGGTAAAAAAAACATCCAACTCTATCTAATAACAGTAATTACAAAGAACATGGTTGGCTTCTTTATGGAGACTTAAAACTCTTGCATGTTGTTGGGTCAACAATATGGTTATACAAAATTTCCAAGTGTTTTGTATGAATGGGGCAGCAGAAAATGGAATCAGTACTGGATAAAGAATCAATGGCTATGCAGAGTCAGCCTGATACCTGATGAAAACATCTTTGATGCAACACCACGCCTCTTATGAACTGCTGCATAATTGATATTTAGTGCTTATTAATCCTGGTTAGGTTAAATACTGTTAAAGCTTTTAAATTTAGCCAGTCTTGTTTTCAAGACCCAAATGGCTCGAGACCTACACCACAGGTTCAGACAGAACACGCTTCATTAATCATTGGAATGTGGCAGGAGCATTGCTTAATCCAAATGGTAACACAACAAAATATCACAATCCATTTCCTGTGGTAAAAGCTGTCTTTTCTCTATTTTCACTTGCCAATATCTACATATCCAATGTTGAAAACCATTTTGATCCCAATAGAACATCCAAGGTACAATCAGTTTTTGGTAGTGGATAGTCATAATTCCTTTTAACTTCCAATAGTTCATGCAGAATGTTGTAGATCATACTTGTTCACAAGCACAACAGGTGATGCTAAAGGACTACTACTACTACTCAATTTTATCACTCCATGTTAATTCATTCCTTCTAATTCTTTGAAAGCCACAGACTCATTTGTAAGGGGGAGGTGTCTGGCTGACATATTGGAGCTGTATCTCTAATATCAATCTTGAAATATTTTACTCATTCAGCCTAAGTCATAAGGTCCACGGGAGAAGGTGTCTTGATATTTTGTAAGCAAGTTATGTAACTGCTAGTGCTGATCATTTGTGAGGCCTCTGACTATTACTGATGTTCCTTGATGTGGAAGTACTATATGTATAGCCTCACATCTTGTAATTTCCTTTTTATATTTGACTTAAATATTATGGATTGTTGTATTCACGAACTTAATGATGACTTCTTTATTCTTCCAGTCAACAAGTGTTCTATCAACCATTAAACCATCAGAACATGCTGAAGTGTTTGGTTCTATTATGGTCCAGTCACCAGGTGGGAATTTATTTTTAACAGATCCCTGTAGGAGTACTTCACTTCTTGCTAGTAAAATGACTGCTCTTCTGGGTGTTACAGAAAGACCAATCTCAGATGTAGTAATTACCATGTAGTGATCAAGGATTTCCTGGCTATAGATTGTGAAGCTAGCCTAACCTTACGTCCATGTTTGTTCCCAGTATGCAATCTTCCTTGATATCAATTTTCTACACATCATTAAGTGTTGAGAAGTTTCCTATAGTAAAGGTAACTTCTAATTTAAGAATGAAAGGTGTGAAACTGCCTCCAAATATGAATAAAGAAGAGGGGATGATACAAACAGCAATTGAATATGAGATTCCAGCAAGAACTAACTTGTGTTGATCAACATATTGCAATACTTTCCGTCGATAGACTCAAGGACTTATGGACATGCTTCCTTAAACAATGAACTTCATATTTCATTTGGAGAAGATCAGGTATTCTTAGCTGAAATTTGCCCCATAAGTTCAGCTAATTATTGTTTCCTGATATCTGGTTAGCACTTGGTTGTTCCTTCAATATAGTTGGGCTCATAGACTGTGACATGGAGTATTGTCTCCTTGGTGTCTTAAAAATAATAATTCCTCACACACACAAATGTACAGGTTTCCCGCATCTGTAACAATTCCTTCTTTCTGGTATCTTTTAGGAGGAGTTCCTATTACCTACAAACTTTGTATGCAGTTTCTAGCAATATGTACTTTCAGATTACACTTTTAGTTTTTCTAGGCTATTGTTCATGTGAGTTGATGTTTCAGTATTACTTGATATGATTACCCTGTAACTTTGAAAATCTGTTATTAGCTGTTTTTTTGTGACTTTAATTGGTTTTAGTTCTGGTGCCAACTGCAGAGCTTCACTTAAGGATTCACACCTTCTCTACTTCAGCCTAAGTCCCATATCCTTGTCTGTTATGGCATCTATAAATTGGTCGTGTGTCAACTAATTCATCATTTCATGAAGAGCATCAGTTAAGATAATTGGGAAAGCCTTTCCAAATTTTCCACAAGTTAGACTATGGTCTCTTCTTTCCTATGGCCCTGCTTTGGATACTTCTGGTGTGTTACTCTGAGCCTATTGGATAAGGCAGCTTATCAATGCTTAATAGTTGTTATAGCTCGAATATGACTTACTGCTGGTCAAAGCTGTTTCTGTTCAATGGTCAGCAATATGGATGGTTTGTTGTTCACTATTCCACCCATTCACTCTGGAAATGATTTCAGACTAAGCTGGATTTGGTAGTGTCATGGCTAGAGTAGTCTAGAAAGGTCCTTCAGAACAGTGGTACAACAGTAGCTGTGATAGATGAAGACCATGCAAGTTCTATTCCATGTCTGGTAGTAGATGATGTTTTAGGTAGTAGTGTAGTTCCTTTGTTGGTGGGTTCTTTTAAGGTATCTAGTGAAAACAACTCATTGTCTAGACCATTTAACAATAGTAAATTACTTAATTTCTTCCTTTAACATTTAAAAAAAAACTTGAACACTGCCAGAAATAGTTGTAGGTCTGTGTTACAAATACCGTAATGTTAAAATGAAGCAACTTGCTAGTGCAAAGTAACTGCGACAGCTGGCACACTGACTAGTTTACTTTCTATCTTGAAATCACTCTGTCTACATAACCCTCAACTATTTATGACCTCACTTGGAATGTGCTAGAAAAGTCACATCCATAGAACATACTAGGTTTTCTATGTCCTCTAGCATACAACAATATATATACAGCTCAGTGGCCCTACCTAACCGATAAAACAAAGACCATGTGAGAAATAGTGCCCTTCCTCATGAATCTTCATATGTTTGAAAGTAAATTCATTTGATTGTGGCTTATGTAAGCATGTGCAACTAGCATGATAAATTATAATGAGAAAATTATAAATATTCTAGTACAATATATTGAACATGTGTTTTTTATGAAAGAACTATGTCAATAAAACTTGATGAAGCTGACTTTGCTTTACACTTCCCTGTGCCTTATTTGTGATCTGTATGGAAAGCAAAATCAACCAAACAGTAATCATTTTTATTTTAGTATGTTTGTGTTTATTTTATGAAAGCTGTAATGAAATTGGGGCAGGCTTTGAAATTTTACAAATAATGTAGAAAATTATAATACTGAAAAATATAATTCTCTAATCTTTGTGCTTTTCTTTCAAACTTTGTCTTTGGCAGAATGACAGATTCCTTCCCCCATTGCCCCATGGTGTTTGCCTGACTTTTGATTGTGCCAAGATGATTCTTACACGTTACCAACTGAGAGGTGGTTTACATTTCATTACCCAGTTTTTCAGTTAGAGGGCTTGGAATATATACTTAAGTGCTACGAGTGACACATATTTACCTAAGAACATAGAACGTATGTCTCTCTGTGCTAGGCTGATTCTCACTTAAGGTTCTAATTAACATTTGGGCTACTTTCTAAGGCCCAAAAAGTGGGAGTATGTGAATTAACTTTTTCACCACAGGGCTAAGAACGTATTCTAGTAACGTTTTTCTTTCTTTTAAATTATCAAGTAAAAATAATTCAACGTCCAGTCCATTTGATGAGACAAAATCTGTTTATTTCCTCATTCATACGTTTATATAGACTTGAAGTTGAACACAGTTATAAAGTGTGGTGAATTGTTGCTACAAATGATGCAGTACCTCCAACAATAGTACTAGGACTAATGTGCAATCAGTCTACTTTCTTGTTCAATGTAGTGCAATAATTTATTTCAACTAACTTTTAACACAACTAACTCGATGTTTACAGAATGTCATTTTGTAAACTGTTTGCTCAAGAGGTTTCTGGGACTAACGTGAACTTAACATCACCTCATCAAAAATCCCCGGCTCCCTCTGTCTAGGAAATAAATTGTAATATTAAAAATACAGCGTATAACAGTATGGCTGTGCTTGGCTGATTCTCATATAATTTGTTACAAACTGACAAACGTGAGTCCATGTTTGTGTGGAATTTCGCGCAAAGTTACTCGAGGGCTATCTGCGATAGCCGTACCTAATTTAGCAGTGTAAGACTAGAGGGAAGGCAGCTAGTCATCACCACCCACTGCCAACTCTTGGGCTACTCTTTTATCAACGAATAGTGGGGTTGACCATCACATTATAACGCCCCCACGGCTGGAAGGGCGAGCATGTTTGGTGTGATGAGGATTTGAACCCGCGACCCTCAGATTGCGAGTCGAGCACCCTAACCACCTGGCTATGCCGGGCTAGAGGACAGAGTATATGTATGTGTATATGTATATATATTAGTGAGTTATATAAATCAATCAATAGAGCTAATTATATATTGATTGTAAATAGGCGATCAAATGAGCACAATATAACAGTAATGAAATTAATACCAATCAAAGGCAAAACGTTTACAACGATACTAAAAAAAAAATTGACCATTACTTGTCCTTTTCATTACCATTATGACTTCATATATATATATATATCTGTGTGTGTAGTATATATACACAGATTTTCGTGTATTTACCTAGAAAAATTAAACGTATGGTTCTGCCAGGCAGAATCTTGCATGATACCATAGATGAATGAACCCGAATAGCAGGTAACTAGGGCAAAAGAAAGAACTACTTTTTGATCAATGTTCAGTGTTAAAACTATATACACTATTTTGTGTTAAATAAAGGGTAGTAAACAATATTAAAGATGTATTGTGTATGTTACTCTTAATAGTGTTATTATATATTATGTATTGAATTGTTCACCTTTGCTATATGCATATATTCTAATGTGTTTGTTTTTACAGAAGTGATAAATATATAAATAGTTTAAAGTATGAAAACGTGGAATCTCCTCTGCTTTCCAATTAAATAATCTTACGGTATTTGTAGAGCTTTTCCATGACTGAGCAGTTAAACAAATAGTAACACAACTTTTATAAGGTAATTTACTAATTCTAGCTCGAAATTATGTTTTTAGAACTTAAAGATTACATTATAATGTTCAGTATATGATATATTACTTTTATTGCTTTATGCTGCATCAGTGGGATTTTTGCAAAATAACGAAGATTGACATTTTAGTTTAATAACTACAAATTTTAACCTAAAAAATTTCTTTCATGATAATATCAACTGATACGTTAACGGTTTCATTATTTAGCTTGACTGTTTCTGAGGGAATAAGATAGATTTAAATATTAGCTGTTTATGGATTTGGTCATCTTGGATTGGATAATAACAAAATGGTGATTCTAAAAAGTGTCTTGGCAAAAAATAGGGTTGTTAGAGTAACCATAACGATCATACATTGCTTTCATTATGATATGCGTGTGACTGATGTTTAATACCATGAATTTGTGACATCTATTAACGTCAAAATCATGCATCAGTAATTGAAGGTCAAATGTTTTGTAATGCAGTCAAGGACCACCTTTCTTGGTGTCTATGAAACATCATATATATAAGCATAAATTTTTAGAGATTTGTTGTTGCTCATAATGTGACACACTCAAATGTCTTTAGTCTCACTAATTTTCATGAATAAATGAAATCATAATCACTTTATTAAGAATTGTACTAAATCACAGCTTAAGTTGTATAACGAATACCCTTGTATCACCACAGTAGACATCGTCATATATCTGAGCATTGAGCAAAAAAAGGTTGTCAGTTGCAGATGTGTTTTCACATTGTTTATTTATATTAAAAAGAAAAATATTTGAAATTAATCTAATCCATGTCGCAAAACACTTTAAAACTAGTAATAACATTTCTGATCATAGTTACCATGAATCAAAAATTAGAAACTATGAGCTGTTCGTATCTAAATTCCTGTTACATAGGTATTAACACACAGGAATCTATTGAGTGTTGTGGAGAAAAAAGTTTAAAACAAGTTTCTGTGGCATTTGATACTACCGCGCTACAGTCTGAATAGAGACAGATACAATGATCTTTCAAAATAGTAACAAAGAGAAAAATATAGCCCTATTTTTTTAAACATATTTGACATTGAGTTATATTTTGAAGGTCTTGTGAATATAAACACTTCAAGTTAATTGTCATTTTCCAGCCAACTAACAACAGAACGATCTCTATAATTTCTCTGTGTGATTAATTTGAATGGTCAGAAAATGTTTCATAACACTTGTAAATTTCAGTTGGGATCAACATTTCTTGGTGGATGTTTTGTTATTCGTTTTCTCAGGTAACCCGATTTCTCTACAAGTATGAGATAGATAGACCCACAGATAACATCAGGTTCACCCATAATTAAGACGAGTTTCTGTACGAGATAATTGGAATGAGTTCCTTTCTAAGTGGAATGTAAAGTCTGGACAACTTTAAAAAGACTTAACGAAATCTTATTTTATAAATAAGCCTGAAAATTCAGTGTGTGCATTTGTGTGGACATATGAACACCCTATCCACTAGATTGAGTCTAGCCTTGCAGCCTTCTTTCTCTCGAGATTGATTGTCATTGAACTAAATACCGTGATCTCCAAAAAGCAAGCCCTTCTCAGAGATCGTCTAGTAGAAAACTGACCTAAGAAAGAACTCCAGAATTTAGCGTGTAAACCTCGGTATTTTTAAGAGAAACCATTAGTTTGTGTAACTTTTTCTGAATGTGATTTACCATGGCATTTTTTATTTTTACTGTAGTATAGTTAAGTTATATTCATTATTTTTGATCCGTGTTTATTAAATATGTCTGCTTGCCCTTGTGGTACACAAGAAAGTTAATTAGTGATCATATGCATAATAAATAAAAGTATAAGGGTTACGTCCAGGTAACATTCCAGCATTTTCCTTCCAGTTTTGGAAATATGCCAGTTTACTAAATGCAATTATGGGCGTTAATTCAGGATGTTGAGGCATATTTCTGACATGTTCAGAATTATTTAGATGCATATGATGTATTCATGCCGTTTAATACAGTATTTGTTAATTTATTGGCCAGAGTATTTTGTGTTTGGAATTTTCAGTGTAATTTAATTAATTCCTGGGCATTAAATTTTTATAGCATAGGTACCTTGTATATTGGTAAAAAAGAAATGGTTATACTAATCTTAAACAGAAGATATTCTGACCATCACAAAATGTGCCGAAATCCTTTATAATTTTGTTTGTTTTATTTTGGGTACTTAAAGTTACGCAAAGACTACATGTGCTAGTCACTCCTAATTTCGAACTGATACACTAAAGGGAAGATAGCAGGTCCACAACACCCACTGCAAACTTTTGGGCTATTCATGTCTGCTTGAATAGTGTGATTAATTTGTCACTCTTTTAGTGGATATATGGCCTCAAAGTGAAGAGTGTTTTTGCAGCAGTAGGTCACAAACCAAGAATCACTGGATTTACAGTCTAAGCATATTACCACTTTGTTACATTCAGTCCCAATAAATAATGAATATTTTCCCTTGGATAGCCAGCTTCCATTTTACATTGTGAATAAGAACAGCTGTTTGGGCACTAAGCAAGCTTCCAAAACATATGTATACCAGCACAAGGACATGAATAAAAACAGATCTGGAGTAAGAGAAAAAAAATCATATGAATATCCCACTTTTCTATCAGACCCACTTCTAGTGTGACATCACACAATCCATAAATTGCATAAACCAACAAGAGAGAGAACTTGTATTAGGCACAGTACCACCCCTTAGAATAAGTATGACCACACTACAGTGGTCATGACAGAGCTACCACTACAGAGTTCATGAGGCAGAATTGAACCATGCAAGTATAAACCTAAGAAATAAGCATTGTAGTATGTAACCTATATATATGGGTTAGATTGAAGCAGAATGGTGTTTCGCCTCTTGAGGATCAAATACATTAGTGTTCCTGATCTTATGAATGGACCATGCAGCTACTACAAAGTGGATCGAAAAGGGGAATTCCACCTCTTTCAAGATCCCAATTTAACCACTGCCTGTATATAACGCTGAAGATTAATGTAAGTTTACGACATTTCCACACCCAGTTTACTTAGATGTCGCAACTGCATGTAGAACACCTGCAAGAAAATAATATATATATATATATATCAATATATCCGAGTTAAGATATATGGGGAGGAAATATTAGCAGTGATTTAGATACAAAATTCATTGTGTTTGCTATGCTCGAGTAAAATACAACTGCCAAAGAAGTTATCGTTTTGATTAACAACACCACAAAGAAAAATAGAAGTTCCAGATTATACAATTGGAAATTCTCAAGAAGTGCATCTGAGTCATGAATTTCAAAGCGTTTATTTTCACATTTCTTTAGCGTTTATTGCACTATTTACATATTGTTTATAGAACTATAATAAATATAAAGCTAAAACTTAAATAAAAGAAAGTTACGTTGCGAGCACAATTTAGTAAAATTTTCATTTTTTGATTCTGAAAAATGGATAATTACACGACAATTTTTAAGCTTAACACATATCCACATCAAAGAATTTGATAATTAGCGGAGTTCTCAGTAAGTCATCCACTTTCATAGTAGGATTGATGTCTAGATCTAGAATATCTTTCATGAATAAGTTTGAGCACAAAATAAAAAAGAAAAATGTATTGTCAAGGCAACAATGATCGATCTGACTCTTGTTTGATTTTAGATAAGAATAAAGCATTACGGTCAGGATGTTAAGGTGAGGGATGAAAAATGAAGGCTTTAACATAGGAGAGTGAATTTAAAAACCTACAGTCCAGCCACACGTCGTTTCCTCACAAGATATGTCACATTATCAATGTACATTTAATATGAAGGTTTCGTGTAGAAACCTACAAATATATTTACACAATGACATTTTCTCTACATCTTCAATATAAAGTTAAATGAAGAGGCTCGACACTATCTAAAATAAAGTGCTTTCTACTACACCAATTCACTCAACACGAAACCTTTTCATGCTAATGTGTTTCGACATACAGTGATTGCAGAAAAATTCCTTAGTTATCTGATATAAACATGGCATCCCATTTTGCACAAAAGACTTTAAATAAAAACATTTATAAACCATAGGTAAGAGTCTATAATTGATTCGCTACAGTAGAAATCTTACGAAACAAAACT